ACCTCCCACCCCACCCCCACACAGCCCCATGAATGACACATGCGCACGGAGGCTGTAGGGAATGGGGGTGGTGAGCACTGACTGGTGCTTGGTGACCAGCCACAGACACCGCTGGCAGTGGCAGTGGCAGCAGTGGCCAGCAGTAATCAGTGACTGCCCATAGATGCTGCTGGCGGTATCGGCAGTGAGGGGGCAGGGTGGCAAGTGGTGTCTGCCCACAGGTGCCGCTGGCAGTGTGGGCAGCACTTCTCTCAGGAGGTACACCACCAGTCTCAGGGGATGCACGTGCACCCGCATGCCCCCCTTGCATGTCACCAATGCACAACCCCCACAAACCCCATACCCACCCACACCCCACATATCCACACACCCCCCATATGCTCCCTCACCCCACACCTATCCACCCCCAACAGACACACCCACACCCTTCCCCACACCCCACATACCCACATACACACAGCCTCCCACAAACTTATGCCTACCCCACCCCCCACAATATACAAGAGTAAGACTTTATTTTAAGTTATTATATACAACCAGTTCTAAGTACACTACACAAACACAAGTAAATCAGGGCAAAAATATTTTTAAAAATCAAATTAAATGAATGTTTTAGATGTTCATTTTTTAGCAAATAATTTGGTATTTTTCTGGTTCTGAGATGGCAAAATCCCTTGCTGAAAGAAGTACTTTTGGGGGCAAGGGGAGGGACTTCTGGTGGCAAAGGTCAGGGATTTGGGGGTGGGACTTCCGGTCACATGATAGCAACCAGGGGGAGAGACACCTGCCAAGAGGCGGGGCTACCCATGCAACTCTCCAGAGTCTGATATATCGATATATATATTTTAAAAAGGTGCTAAATTCCTGCAACTTTCTTGGACCTGTGGTGCTCAGCATTTTTGACACTCAGCCCCTGATTTAGATCCTGCTTTTTTCCCTCTCTCTTTGGGGAAGCTCAAATCTGTCTGAGCTTCACCTCACTGGCTCACAATACTGGCTTTGCTTTTACCAGCTTTCATGTAATCTTTTCTTCATTCACATTTCAAAACAAGCTGTTGTGTCTAAAGGCTGGTACAAGAGCCTTCGCATGCTCACTGCTCAGTAGTAAAGGCTGTCTTAAAATAAATTCCTCTTGCTAACTGTAAATTATATCCAAGAAAAAATGGATCTAAAAGCTGCACTGCTGTCTTTTCCAAGTTTAAATTGGTGCTCTGAGCTATCCCTTCCATTGCCAGTGATTGACAAGTGGGTCATTGCACAAAAACAGAGCAACTGTTCTGCTGGAAGACACTTGAATCTCTTTCCTTGAAACTTTACCGTGTTGAAAAGTGATCGTTTAAATGCAGTCCCTTTACAGAATGTCTGGGAAACTGGACAAGCATGACAGGACCATAATTTGCTCAACCTGGTGACAGAATGCTAATATACAGAAGTTTAGTAATGTGTGCAATAACTTATTTTCTATAGTTTAGTCTTTCGTGGAAATCTTCAGTCAAATGTGATGGTCTTAACTGTTCATCTCATTCTATTTGATTACGTAATAAACCTGGTACAGCAGCTGCTAGATCTTTGCCCCATGTATGTTGGTAAAGGGCGTTCACCTCAGTTGAGCTATGACAGTTTATGACATCCTCTATACCACTTAGATCAGTATCTGTAACAGGTGGGTAATAGCACCTGAATGCTACAGCACTATTAGCAATGGCCTAACACTGGGTTGTCCCCTAACAGGGGGCCCCAAGGGGTTAAAATGCAACCCCCAGGCTCCTGCCCAGCTGCCACTCCCTCTGTCACTCCTGCTGCTGTGGCAGGGGGGGGCTCCATGCTTTCTGCTTCCCTCCCCTGCTCCTGGAGACTGGGCAGGGCTGGACAGCAGGAGAGTGCTGGGTGTGCAGTAGGAAGAGATCTAGACTGCCCATACAGTTAGAGAGAAGCTGATTTGCTCGCACCATGTGCGTGGCCAGAAAGGCGACTGCACTGTTTATGCAGTAGAGGGGAGGTCACTTGGTGGGGGTGAGCCAGGCTGCTCCCACTGCTTGTGGGGCTGGTGGGAAGACGGGCTGTTTCATTGCCCATGCAGCTGAGGGATGTTAGGCTGCCCATGCAGCAGGGAGGGCTCTGGGGGGGAGTCACCCAGGGGGTGTGCGGCCCAGGGGTCTGCAGTGTGGGGTGTGCAAGTCCCTTTGTCCAGAAGTTGGACAGCCCAGCCTGTCAGATTAATACACAGTAACTGAGACCTCAAGATCCAGTGAGAATGGGTACCAGGTAAATTGAACATACAAAATCTGGGAACCGTGATGCTGGATTTCCTGAACTGCCAGAAGAGATGGTGGCCTGCTGTGAGGTTTGTGTAAAAGTGGAGTAGTATTCATATGTTACATGGGTTGTTCTGAGTCATGGGTATGTGCCAGGAGCCAGAAAATTAGTTGAGATATGAAAACAATATAGTCTGCTGCAGGATGGTTTGATTACGTATACTATGTTGGGATTCCCAAAGTGAATCATTTTTTTCAGTAGACCTGAGGGGTTTTATGCAGAATTGAACTTGTGCTCATGGGTCATTTTAGTTTGGAAATCTTGCCTGATGATAACAAAACCAAACTTTGTGTACAATACTGAGATGAGGGAAAATATCAGCTGCTAACTTTCAGTTTTAGAAAGTCTAGAAACCCCCCACGAGTGCCTGCATCATAGCATTCAGTTGTTTTTGTTTTAGTTGTACTCATTCTAGTTTTGTTCTGTTTTGGATACGCCTCATTAATACTGTTTTATCTGTGTGGATCTTTCCATATCAGTGAACTCTACGTCCTACACTGGATGGTTAGCATAGGGCAAAGTCCTGCAACTTGGCTCATGATCTGGTCATGCTTTAGTTTGGTATTAATTCTTTAGAAGAATCTACCAATATATCATTCACAATGGAAGCTAAGTGACACTTGTACCTTCTTACTCCTCGCTCAAGGTCTTGTACATCTGTAGGCTGGTTATGGGTGCCACTGTAGGATACCTGCCTTTAAGGGTCTCCTACGCTAGGGACAGACGTTACACATAAACAGTATGAAGGCGCAGGGAGGGGGAGATTGAAAAGCTCAGTATCATCAAGAGATGTATGCAATCCACACCCCCCTCTTTGTTTCAGAGTGCTAGCCTGGGGCTGGGGGCTGGCAACACCCCTGCCCCTTCAGCAGCAATTGGGGAAAAGCCTGGGACTGTGAAGACAGGGTGGGGGTTTAAACCCCTCTCTAATCAAAGCGTCCTATTGGGGCCTATCCATGCCCTGCCTCAGCTCAGCATTGTGGAAGGGCAGGGAGGGCTGCTCTAGTGCCCCCAGCTTCTAGCCTGAACCACTGCAAGTATGTGTTTGTTCTTCAGTCCACAGGTAATGTCTGTACACTTGCAAACTGATTCAACCTAGGCAGGTTAGGACTAACCTGCAAAGATTGAATTAATTCAGGCTCAGGCTTTTTGACTGTTTGTCCCTAGCCCTAGTACCAGCACCCTCTGGTCTCTCTCTCTCATTCAGTATTCTCACTTGTCATGTCTTATTGTAAAAATTAGAAGGGGAGGCTGCATAAGAGCAAGGCATGTGCTGAAGAAATGGGTCTTGGTCTGATCCAGGCTTCCCCTCCCTGGCCTTGCCCCACTTTTATTGTAGCTGAGCCCTCTATCTTGAGGCTCACTGCTCAAGGCTGTAAGGTCCTGGCTCAGCTTGGTCACACCCTGTGACCAGGCCCCTAGATATCCACTTCATAGGCAGCTAGTAGAGCTGTGCGAAACGGCACCGTTCCATTTGGACTGGCGTTTCAACATTTCAGTGGAACAGTGTTCTGTCTTGAATTTCATTTCAATTTAAAACTGCTATTCCATTCTGTTTCATCGAGCTGGACACAGTACTCCAGCTGTGGCCTGACCAGTGCCGCATAGAGGGGGAGGATCACTTCCTTGAGCCTGCTCGAGATGCATCTGTGGATGCATGACAAGGTACGGTTGGCCTTCCTGACTGCCTCCCCACACTCCCGGCCCATGTTCATCTTTGATCCAAGATCCTTTTCTGCCGCTGTACTGACAAGAAGGGACCTCCCCAGCCTGTAGGTATACGTTCCTCCACAGGTGCATCACTTTGCACTTGTCGGTGTTGAATCCCATCCTATTCTCATCTGCCCACCCCTGTAACCTGTCTAGGTCCAATTGGAGCCTATTCCTCCCTTCTAGCATGCCCACATCCCCCCACATCTTAGTGTCATCAGCAAATTTGAACAGGGTGCTTTTTTCCCCTTTGTCCAAGTCACTGATGAAGATGTTTAACAGCGCGGGCCTGAGAACTGAGCCTTGGGGAACCCCACTGCCCACATCCCTCCAGGTCGAAAATGACTCATCCACCACCACCCTCTGGGTGCAGCCCTCCAGCCAGTTGGCGACCCAATTGACTGTGTAGGTGTCGACACCACAGTCCCCCAGTTTCTTAACGAGAACAGGGTGAGAGACAGTGTCGAAGGCCTTCCGAAAGTCCAGGAAGACTATGTCCACTGCTACCCCTGCATCTAAGGATTTGGTGATCTGATCATAGAAGGCCACCAGGTTGGTCAGGAGGCCCAGTTGGAAGCTACGTTAGCCCAAAAGTACTGATGAGAACAATATCTTTATGAACTCTGTAAACTACTTGAATCTGTGTTTTTGTGAACTTTCTCATGAGTAGGCTGGAGAATCTAATAGTTTAAGAATGTGCACTTCTACAGCACCTTGAATCTGACAGTTATGAAGTATGTTAAATGCTCACAATACCTCAGGAAAGCAACTGTTTTCTACATGTTACTGAACAGATGTAAAAGAGTGGAAATGATTGCCTTTGTAGATTTAAGCCGATTAATGGTCAGGCCAGACATAATACAATACTCTTAGGGCCATCCCCTTCTTAAGCACCAGCACTGGATTAGATTGCTTAACTATTCAAAAGGTAACGAGGAGTTTGTTTCTTCCCCTTCCCCAGTTGGGTGTTATCAAAGTATTGTGCGAACAATCTGTGAGCACTTTTCAGAACAATGGGCAACTGACAGGAGGCAACTTTTGGTAAGTCTCGTAGGCATGTGCTAGAAAAAAAGGGGCTAAACATACTTTATTAAATCATATCCTAAAAGAGCTTTGCTGCCGGCCATGAATGAAATATTCCACAATGAGCTTCACCTATGAGGTCTCTTTGCTCAGAAGTGGTTGTAGCAACAAATGCAGGAGACTGGGACTATAATTTTCCCCACTCTTCTGGGTGAAAATTGGAAATCTTAAGTACCCATTATTCTTTCTGAAATTAAGCCCTTGAAGTCAAGCCTGATCACCAGTCAGAGTACACTAAGATCATGCAGAAATTTGATATCCTTAAAAGCAAATATTTTTAGATTTTTTTTTTTAACTAAGCTGGGAAATGAAAGTTACTACCTTTGGTACATCAGGGCTAGGGACAGAAGTTAAACATAAACCAGTTTAAGTGCTCAGAAACTCATTTAAACCTGTAACAGAGAAGTTCAGTGCACATAAACCAGTTTCAAAATGGCCAAAACCAGTTTGAGACAAACCTGGTTGAATGTAATATCATGCTCAACTGATTGAGATCGAAGTGGCTTATGGAACTTCTGTCCCAGACCCCTTCCTTGTTTAAGTTAAATCAGAGTCCCTGCAGTGATGCCTAATAGCCTTTTCTTTAAATTAACCGACTTAATCTTTCTC